CAAGAGCCCAGGTGTGAGAAGGATCAATGGTTTCTTTAATCCATACTTGTGACAAGAGCCCAGGTGTGAGAAGGATCAATGGTTTCTTTAATCCATACTTGTGACAAGAGCCCAGGTGTGAGAAGGATCAATGGTTTCTTTAATCCATACTTGTGACAAGAGCCCAGATGTGTGAGAAGGATCAATGGATCAATGGTTTCTTTAATCCATACTTGTGGCAAGAGCCCAGGTGTGAGAAGGATCAATGGTTTCTTTAATCCATACTTGTGACAAGAGCCCAGATGTGAGAAGGATCAATGGTTTCAGGTGTGAGAAGGATCAATGGTTTCTTTAATCCATACTTGTGGCAAGAGCCCAGATGTTATGGTTTCCATACCATACTTGTGGCAAGAGCCCAGATGTGAGAAGGATCAATGGTTTCTTTAATCCATACTGTGTGACAAGAGCCCAGGTGTGAGAAGGATCAATGGTTTCATTATGCTATACTTGTGACAAGAGCCCAGGTGTGAGCTATATGGCTTGGAATAAAGTCTTGATATGATATAAGAGCCAAGACCCCAACCACCTTGCCCACTTGTCACCTCTTAAGCATAGGTTAATGGGGCCCAAGCTTCCCATGAAACCCAGCGGAACTATGAAACGTTAGGCTCAGTGAGATGGGGTTTATTACACTTTCAGCAACATTACAACCTTATCACAGCTTAAATGGGGCACTATAAATGGACTTCACACATTTTACCGATGTGGGGAATAGAACCAGTTTTCCACATGATGAGCAGGTGCTTCAACCACTAGGCTACCCCACCAGCTCCAGGACACAGGAAGGGATAGGCCCAGGAAAACATAACAATCATCTCTTATTAATTCTTTTGCAATGCATGTGCCCTAAAATCGAACATCACGTTAATGAATTTAAATGTATAAAAGTCTGCTTTCTTTAAGGCTGGTCATTTGTTACAGTGGAGGGGTTGGGGTGGGAGGGGCAGGGGAGGTGAGGCTGGGGTGGTGGGGCTGGGGTGGTGGTGATGGGCTGGGGAGGTGAGCTGGGGTGGGGGGTGAGTCAGTGAGACTGGTCTATAGAACATATCACATGTTTCATGCCTGTTGACTTGAACTATTTTCATCAGTGTGTTAAAGGAACAATGAGACTTAACTCTTGTTAAAATCTGACAACACAGAATGAGTCAATCACAAGATTACATAATAAAGAAGAATGTATTCTGATAGACATCCTCAACTAAAATGTATGGATGCCATATTGTATTTTGAAACAGCACTTGATACTGTGGCCTGTTGAAGGAATGAGAACATATGCTCAACTTAGTCGTTTCTCATTCACCAGCCTCGGTTAAAACCCCTGAATATAGATGAAAGGAGGTCATCCTCTGACAAGTATTGGCAATAATTGGTTCCCTTTGTGTCATATTAAGGACACAGGTTTGCTTGGTGTGATATTAAGGACATATTAAGACTTTGAATGCACTAACAGGATGACCATACACCAAGCACATGATACAGTGTAAGTAGAAACACGTAAACAAGAGTCAACGGATCTGGTGTGACCACAACAGCACCACGAGGAGCCAGAGTGATTGTGAATCAAGGTATTCCACTTTTTGCAATATTTCACCAACATCAGGGTGGGAGGAAGACAGTAGGAACCGGCTTCACACTGTCAAGCCTTATCCCATTTCCTGTCAAACTTATACCATTTCTTGTCAAGCCTTATGCTATTTCATGACAAGTCTCATCCCCTTTCTTGTCAAACCTTATCCCATTTCTTGTAAAACCATATCCTATTTCATGACAAGTCTCATCCCATTCATGACAAGCCTTATCCCATTCATGACAAACCATTTCCCATTCATGACAAAAAAACATATCCCATTCATGACAAGCCTTATCCCATTCAGCACAAACCATATCCCATTCATGACAAAAAACCTTATCCCATTCATGACAAGTCTTATGCCATTCATGACAAGTCTTATCCCATCCTTGACAAGTCTTATGCCATTCATGACAAGTCTCATCCCATTCATGACAAATCGTATCCCATTCATGACAAGTCTTATCCCATTCATAAGTCTTATCCCATTCACGACAAGCCTTATCCCATTCATGACAAACCGTATCCCATTCATGACAAGTCTTATCCCATTCATGACAAGTCTTATCCCATTCTTGATCCCATTCTTGACAAGCCTTATCCCATACTAGACAAAGGTCTTCAGTATTCTGGTGTGTAGCAAATCAGTGAAAAGTATGACCAGTATTCAGTGGCCTATGTGGAGGTTGTCCCAGCCCGGGGGGACAGCACAGCAACAGTCTCAACGAGTAAGTCGGCTGCATGTCAGCTTGATGAGGGAACCACAGTCACACAGAGTGTGAAACACATTGGCAAGAGTTTGAACCCCCAACCATCAAATATGTGGATGGCCACTGGAAGCAACTCTGCACAGGCTGATATTAGACAACTAGGACCTCTTGGTCTCCATCCTACATCTGATACACTGTGATCATCTTTCACACTCACATGGGAATGTTCACATTAAACACCTTTAACCTTTATGTAACATATGAATCCACATGTAGGCAGTATCATGTCACTAAAAATGTCTTTGTACTGCAAAAAATTACAATGAAATAACCTTTCAACCACACAGAAAAAAACTTAAACTAGTTTTGTTAGAAACATGAAACAATGGCAATGACAAAATTCATACAATTCTTTCTTACCAAAACTGTCATTACTTTTATGCAAATACTAATCATAATTGTCAAAACTGACATACATTAAAATCAAGCTCCACGATGTACCTTCTCAAAATATGCAGATGATCAAAGAAGTGATGATAATCTCAACCATTACAAGAATACCCAGACAGTTTGAAATACTAACAGTTCAAGTTGTAATGATTCATTCACAGTTGCATCAGTGTAAGACAACATTAGGTAGAGCCTGATACATGGAAATATTTCATACCGCCACAGAAGTCACCCAGACCAGAGTGAAAGAACCACTACATTTCCACCTCCACCTTGCCCCACGGCATCATTTACAGCCCGCACAGACAAAACAACTCCATGTAGCCTTCTCTCCAATACAACAGAAACATTATACTACAAAACATGGGAATCATATCCACTGAAAGATAATGTACACAGATGATTTGAACAGTTTGTTTCAAAAACATAAAAAGATGTCCAAACAAAATGGCAGATGCCTCACATTTTTTAAATAAAATTTGACAAATCCTAATGATTACTTCACTAGGGCCTCTGTAATATATCAACTTAGCAGCTGAAAGTGCATCATTTCCATGGCAATATCAAATAATATTCAACAGACATCACCTCATGGAGTTACTCCACGTCTGGACTTTACAAACCCGTGACAGATGCACTATCTATGTGTGTGTATATATAGGTAAGGTATGTGGTAAGAAAATTAATTGTAAAATACTATCATCTTTAGATATGTAAACAAGTTCTCAAGCCAATGGTATCTGACTAGTTTCCAAGTATTATCTGATTGGGGGCTTGTAAAACATATTATCAACATACATATGTTTATGATATGTAAGTGGAAATCACTGCTAACATCATTTCATTCTTTCTAAATGTTTTTAATACCATGGAGCATGCAGCTTCCGGACAGAGACGGTAATTAAACACCAATTTGATTAGAACCACATATTTAAGTACAAACTATCACATACCATTTCCTGCTGGACTACAGAATATCTGGTAAACTGATGTAGCTGTGAAGTTCCTTTCAGTGAATATGGTCTTATGTGTGTGCCACTTCACAGCTGAACACCAATGTTCACAGCACCCATGGGGCATTGACCCAGGTCTTTAGAGCCTCAGGCAACCCATCCTGGTGTATGTCACACTGATTAAGTCTTACATTGTACAAACTGTTCAACCAATCCAGACACCAAATACAACTGTCCTGGACATTTCATTCTTAAGGTAAAAGTAAGATTGTTGATGAGCAAGAGTATCACCCCTGTCGGACACCTGCTGCACTGAGCAGTTCAGTACACCCAGTGAGTTAGTTGGATTTAACGTCACCTGTAGCTATTTTCCCCACATAGTCATCACTGCAGGAGATGCCAGAAATGGGTTTCCAACATTATACCCATCTGGGGAACTGAATCCAGACCGTTGTCCAGACAAGCGATCACCTTACCCACTACACTACCCTACCACTAGCCCCATTAAGGGGCTACCTCATTTAAAAAATGAAAAGCTTTAATGCTATCTAAAACACAAAACAATACAGGACTTCGAGCAAAAGTTAATTTAATACTCTTAATTGGATCTTACAGTTCCCATTCATGAGTCACAGAGTTCTAAAACAAATGTTATTTAATTACCCCATGCGGTATGTGCAACTCAGGTGTGAATTCCTAATTACCACCCCCTGACATCAACGACTACCTGGAAATCTTAACATCATTTGAACATGCTCCCATCCTTACAACTTGTGAGATGACAATCAACATATTTACATAGGACTATGACAAAATGTACACTATGATATGAAAAAAAATTTAAAATAGCACAAACTACATTTTTTGATTTGTAACAATGCTTAATATCATTATTTGGGTCATACAGAATTAGCTAGTCTGTTTACTGTTAAACCCCTATATACTGGACATGGAAACAAACAAAACACAAGGGAGGATAAGGAACAAGTTTGAAAGTATTGCCACACTGGCTTTAACTGGCTTAACTATCACTTAAAAATAGTTCTCAGAAAATAACTCTTGAATATTTAATGTGGGCAAGTAGTTGGACATTTTGCTTCATTTGTTTTGGTGACCATCGAAAGTATGTTTGTTTGACATTAGGCAGTGTATGAAATAAGCCCCAAACCCAGCCAGAGATCAGGGCTGATAACTTCAAAATGTTACCAGCCCAAAATGGATATAACCAGACCAGACACCAAGACATGGTGAATTTACTCAGATGTATGGAATATCCAAAAATAAATTACCAGACCATCGGGCTGGCTAGTTGTTAATTTAGACCGTCCGTCAGAAATCTAGCCCATCTTGGGCAGTCAGAGGAGCCTTATTTCATACATTGCATTAGGATAATAATAATACCAGTAGAAAATATTGTATTTTGTGGGAGTGTTTGGTTGAGACCCAAGCACACTCCTGAAACGTCTTACATCTAAATCACAACCATACCCATCTGTCATACAGGTTTCAAGGATACAGATTTGGATCCACAAATATCACTAATTCCCGTGGTCCAGACTTTGGGCTAGAAATACTGGTATTGGTGAAGATGTCCTCCGGGGCATTACTCTATTAACCTGAACAAACCTGACTTGTGGACACTTTGAGATGTAAACTATTGCTCAAATTATAATACTTGTGTTTCAGGTAACTATGGTAACACGCTAAGTGCTATGTGCAAGTAAGTAGGTAAAGAAAATAAATCATTAAAAAATAAGTTCTTATATGAGTGTTGACGAATAATTACAGATGTGATAAAAATGCCAGGAATGGGAGTGAAATGACGGGTTATCCAAAACACAAGTACCGTTTCTAACAGGCATTGAGCAATGTTATAAACATATACACCCTATTTGACCCATCCTAAATGGGTTTGAAGCAGGCGTGAATGTTATCCAAGTACCAGATAACGTAGTCACGTGCATGGTATGACACTTTAGTGTGACAACATCGCATGGTCTGCAGCTAACTCCCCTTGTTCCTCCATATTGAAGCTGCCATTACAAGTCTTGAATACACCTCTACAAACATACCAGTGTTGGCCATCCTCTCAGTGTAGTACCGTGTTCTTCAGTAGGTCGCCCTACACAGGGATGACATAAAATTCTGTCTACAAACATGACCCATGTATAGACCAGTCAATACCATATGCATATATTACATTCAAGTTCAGAAATCAGGCTAAAATCACAAGTGACAATCTAGTAACATGACAAGCACAAGATAAAATCATAATTTGGCATCAACTTCTATAGTGAAATGAGCCGACTGCTGAAGTTCAGTGTATATACAGAATAACAAGGCTACTTCATGTGCTTGTATGAACTACCATCCCCAACACTCACAGTGAATACATACAGCACTGTTCTACAAAGTAGTGCACTCTAATGATGAAGTCTTTAATAGCTCATAGATGCAAATTGGACCCTACTCAGTGTATTGTGCAAACCCGACAACTGCATCACACTTATAGAGCAGATAGGTGCAAGGCTACGGCATGACGCACTATAATTAGTGCACTCAGAGTTGTCTCCCTTGTGGAGTATTGCTGCATTCTTTGGTTTATACAAATATAGTGCGAAGCGACTGTCAGTATTCACAGTGATGGAGGGGAGCAGATCATACAAGAGCCTGAAGTACTGAAGCTTGTGTGCTGATGGAGACAGAACATGTTTCTCATAGCAAATGGGATCTGTAATGATGCCATACATTCAAAAGTAGATGAGGGTTGGTGTTTCAAGGTGACTGCAAAACGGAATGGTACCAAATAGGTATGACCACTTGTCACAGTACCCTCTGTTGTTGATGGGATGGCGTCAGTGTTGAAATACATGGCTGTCGGTCGAAATTTACATCAAATGATGAGTGAACTAAAGAACAGGATCATTTCTTTGTTGCCCCAGTCTTGTTTTGAAGTGTGCTGTCATCACCGTTTTCCTCACTCTTCCCTGACACTTCTTTGTCCTCGTCCTCCTGGAACAGACACAGCAACCAACATGGTAAGGGCATCACGACAAAATCAAGAAATCAAACCATAGTTAACACTGTATAAGCGAGTCTGACCATCCGATTAGTTGCCTCCTACGACCAGAATGGGTTATGGAAGACCAATTCTAACCCAAATCTTCAAGGGTGTCTGGCATGGTTGGAAATGGAAGTAAACATGTTACTTCCGAGGATTTCAGTATCGCTGACTTGGGCCAATATGTCCCAGTAGGGAACTGAAAGAGTTTGTACTCCAGACTTGGCTGTGAATAGTTGAAGAAATATAAATGGTAAAAACTGTATGTTTCATAGCTATTACTGAGTAGCATTTAACTTTGGTTTCACTGGTGGTTCCAGTAATGCTCACCACACAACTGATAAATTTCATTTTGAGAATTTGCATGGTATAGACCGATCCAGTCTGTCAATCAAAACTGGCGCAACCGTCAATTTGGCCAATCAGCAGACCGGGCGCACTGTGTGGATTTGTCAGACTTATTTCTGGGGTCAAACGATGCCTCAGAAGCGATGTGCTTTGAATTATGCCATTTACACTCGCTATATCTATAACATATTGCTGAGATTTGATGTGTACCTTTAACAAAACCATTATGGTCAAGAAAAAAGGAATTGAGGCGGATCAAGGAGCGTGATAGGCCAAACGATCAGTTAAATGTCTGCACCATCGTTCACGAAACCTACGTCTGCCTGCAGATGAGAATTTGCACGAATTTCCACACTTTTGCACATGTGCAAAATCATTACCAATTGATGATAACAAATAGCAGTTTAAGACTCTGCAAGGGTTATAAACACGGACAATTCTTTAACTTCAAAATTGTTTTTGCTTAACGTTTTTTGTCACTACTGGGCATTGAGTTGGTACGCCATAAAGCTCAAATGAGACGGGCGAGAAAGCTGTGACACAATGTAAACAAATCTGACAGCGATCTGATTTCGGTTAGGGTCGACGAAATAGCAAAACTTGTTACATTAAAGAACAATGTGGTTGATATTGTTGCCTTCGCTCTTTGATATTCTTAAATTTGTCACACATTTTAGGATGTTTTATAGTTTCAAAAGCACAATCTGAATGCCTACTGCAGTACTGTACAGTATCTGTTAATAGTACAAAGTAGTCGAGGAGTAATATTTTTTTTATTTAAACGGAAGTATTGTCAGTGTCAGCAGTTGCCTATCACGCAATATACAAATATCAAAATTAATTCAAATGAGAGTCTATAAAACCATGCCTTAAATATTTCAGAATTTCTATAAGGAGATGGGACCTTGAATTGAATTACCTTACTCCATGTGGATCGGAGACGAACACTATGTGAGGAGAATAGTGACTTTCTGGAATATTGGACGGAGTGAAATAAAAGTGTATTTCTTAACTATGAGAACATTATTTGTTTTGACTTTTTGTTTTGTTACAACATAATTTTTTTACAAGTAGGGGGAGGTCCATTGGTATATTCTAGGAGTAATAACATAACTGTCATTTTAATCAATTCACTGGAAATGATAGCAAGGCATGTTTTAAGAATATTGCGTCCTTTAGTAAACGTGGAAAGGTAATAAAATAAAAATTCATAATCTATTCAATTATAAATAGTTACTTAATTGACTGGCATATCAGATTCATGTGATTTTAAGGCAGAACTAGGCAAACAAACACTATATACTTATCATGGCAGAACAATCACTTGGTACTAATTAACTAACTTGTTGGCTTCTGCTTTAGATATCTTTGGTATTTTTAATAATATATTTACTGATAAGATTATTCTGAAAGTGATTACTAGTATCATAACTCAAAATAAAGTTATTTCAACATCCAGAGAATTTAAAAAAAACCAAAGGCTATGTCTTGGTAACACCCTGGTCAGGCATTATTCAGTCTTGGAACAGACTAACTTACAAAATTCTCAGTTGACTTTTCATGTAACTGGAATGAATAATGAAACATATATTTAACCCAGATTTTATGTAATACTTCTTAGAAATCATCAGCTTTTGAGGAGGTTACCAATATATAAAGAGACTCAGCCAAGTAGTGTTTATTAAGATGTTGGTTTTGGACAAATTGTTCAAGGTTTGTTGATGGTTATTTGGAAAATGAGCTTCATATTAATTTGCACACTGGTTTGCGGAGGTGAAAGCTTCAGGACATTTTCATGTGTGTTTTCCTAAACTTTTGTTATGACTTTTACCAGATTTTGGAACAACTTTAATATATTTTTGATGACACTAGTAAGTATCTGAGAAGAGGAAATAGATCAAAATTAGTTTTATGTCCCTTAGGGATATGGTCTCAGATCCAATAAAACAAAGAGTATCATTGTTAAAGAAGCAATAATGTCAGTAACTAATTTTATTGAAAAAACGCTTTGAACCTAGGATATATTCTTTATACCTTACTTACATTAGTAGTTAGTAGTGGTGTGACGGAATTTGACGAAATACTGTAAAATGGTTTTGTTTTGATCTTATGGCGTTTTATATTTGGTGTTAGAATTAAATATTTTAATATCGTGATACGTATCGTATCGCCACCCTTATATCGGGATTCATATCGTATCACAGCTTCAGTGCACAATACTTTGGCAATATATCGTCGTGAGTGAAATGTTAGTACCGTGATGTATCATATCGCAGGTTGTATGCCAATACCAGCACTAGTAGTTAGCAGTTAAATATCTCTGAAGAAAAAGCAGTATATTTGTATTTTGTGTAACATTCTATTTCAATCCTAGTTAATTGTTTGGATAACTGTCGATCCACAGTTCAAAGATTTTGCGTCACAGGTTTCCTATTTCTGGAAGATGGGTCAGTGTTCAGGTGCAGACTGTATCTTGGGTTCTTTGTGTTCTGGTGCTGTGACATACCTGTACATAAATGCTGGCAGTTCATGAGGTCCAGTACTGTGGAAGTTTGTAAATTAGGATTCCACAACAAAGTACACATACAAAAATATATTGGAAAGGGTGATTAAAAAAATGGAGTTCCTTATATTCAGTTTCATTTCTGGATGGTGTACAGATTTTGAAGAGGGAAATTTTACTGAGAATTGCTGAAGATTAGCTGCTGAATAGTTCCTTCTGGGTATGTCCAGATACATCCATGAAAACATACTGTGTACTAGGGCTGCAACGAATACACTATGTGGTGAATATGATACGTATCATGAATATTGGGTAACGAAAACGAATAATTATTCACGAATACAATATTGTAGTTAAGTGATTGATGCACAATATGGAACATCCATGTTGACAGTGTTAATTTGTCACAGCAATAACCAATGATCTCATGAAACTCAAATTTGGTATGTAATAGTTATACTAGTAGTTGACAGTACCATGTGCTGCCTTGGCAAAGTAACATGACTTGCGCTACTGCAATGCTAGTACATGTTCCATTCTTGCATATCTCACTTTGGAAAAGGACATAAGGGTTCAAGTAAAACATGCTCCCTTAAAAAAATCATAAATATTCGTTAATATTCGGTTCTGGTGACCACGAATAACGAATTGAATTCATGAAGGGCTACGGTTCGATTCACTGAATATGCAAGTGAATCGTTACAGCCTTACTGTTTACAAGCCCAATAACTTTTCCCAAGATTTCCACATAAGATCAAATAGGTTATGCTGTGATTGATTTGTTTACATTAATATATACAGACAAATAAGGTGTATGAAGTAGTAGACGGGAAATACTTTTTTCTGCTTTGTTCATTAAAAGGTAGAGTTTTCACATTATTGATTAGGATAAAATAATACAGGCGCGGTGTAGACAATCTATTTATACATGTGTAGATACCGACACGGTCTGCAACTTGAACGTTTTTTATAAAATTACGATGGGAATATTTGAGAGAAAAAAACAACCAAACAACATAATTCAGTTACCCTTCCCCTTCTAATATCTTAGACGAATACATTATTTGGTTCAAAAGAAAATACGCTTCCCACTCTGAGCAGCTGGCCGAGGCTCGCCAATTGCAATCTGTCAACTAAAATATATTAAAACAAGCATTGTCACTAAGGTGACATAATCCCCCGCCGCAAATTATCAAATCAAACTTATAAAGTAATGAAAGTTTAAGATGTAGTTCAATGTCAACAAAAACATTATCTTGCTCTTTAGTTGTTCAAACATACACATATTTTCAAGACTGTCTTTGACCTTGACATGAATGTCATAGTGTATAAAATATGCAAAACTAGTACTAAAGAAATTGCTTATTGATAAAAATTCAAGGGAGGTCTTGAAAGTCTATTAAGAAAATCCAGTGAACCGTTCTTAAAATATCTCGCTGACAATTCAGGTTAACATTCTGAAATCTTCATAGTGTCGTCGTGACCCTACAAATTATGTGAAGGTCACCAAAATTGACTGGGCCCTGGGCCTTCCCTAGATGAAGCTTGGTGTCAAATATGAAGAAAATCCACTGAATATGTTTTGCGATATCTTGCTGACTATCTTAACAAGCAATTTAACATGCTGAAATCTTTAAAAGTGTCTCTGTGACCTTGAAAATTAAATGAAGGTCACCAAAATTAACTGGGCCCTGCACTTTCCCGAGATAAAGCTTGGTATTGAATATAAGAAAATCCAGTGAACGGTTCTTGAGAAAGCTTAACATGCAGGTAAAACGTGAAAGTCCCCTTGTGACCTTGAAATGAAGGTCAAGATCACCAAAGCTGACTTGGACCTTTCTTATAGTGTGATGAACCCAGGTACCAAATATGAAAAGAATCTAGTGAACGGTTCTTAAGATATTCCAATTCGTAGTACATACGGACGGAGCCTAATACTATATCCCCCGCTTCGAGCTAAATGGGTGGCAGGGGATAAATATAGTACGTATAACTTTCCTCTTTAAATATCAATCACAAACGGCGGATACCAAAGTGCCACAAGCAGAATTCACCAACAACGTTCGCAATCACGTATGTTTCGCCGACGGTGACGCCATTGTGATTAGTCAGTGGTTGTCCCCCCTAACGTCAAAAACGAAGTGGGCGGGGCTTATTCGGCCGGGACTGGATCGGTCTATTGTTAAACCATCCAGTGAAAATGACATCATAGGCTGCTTTAGTATTGGGTGAGTACAAAGACAGAGAACCCGTCATGTAGGCCAGAGCTGATCTAACACACTGGACAGAAGTGACACTGTATGTAGTGACACTGTATGTAGTGCAACTAATTGCATTAGTGCAGAGGACAGGTTTTGAAACACAATTATTACATATGTTGGCAGTGAAGAGGACGTCTAAAGATTTTTACAGATATTACAGTGGGAATATAGCCAAAAGAGGAATCCATGGCCATGAGGTATTCCTAACATTAATACTGGCTTCATACATTGTATCCAAGTTGGGAATTCAAGCTAGTCTTTCAGGATGACAAGCGAGCACTGAGACCGCTAAGACACCTGATTGCTGTTTCTTGTTTAATTGCCACACTCAGCAATATTCTACCTTTGTAATGGTGGCCTGTAAAGTATCAGGTGTCAACTAGACGATCCAGTGATCGATATTATGAGTCATTATCACTGGATGAGCTGACATGCAGTGGACCAAATCACCAAGCCAGACCCACCAATCAATCAAACTTGTGAACTGCCCTAAGTATGCAGCAAAGTTGACAGCTTACCGTCTTGAAGATCTTGACAGCGTGTTCAGCCTGGCAATGTTGTACAAGGGACCATGCAGTGTTAAATTGGGCCTCACAGGATGCACACAACAACTGCGAGGGCTCATCTGGAACAGAGATGTTAAGTGTCAGACACAAACCCCAATCCTACTCTTCTTCATATAAATACAACTATTCCAGTGGTCAGCTGTTTTCTCCATCAGTATACATGCAAAGGTTAATTTTCTTGAACCCAAATCTTAAAATTTTACTGCGGTTAAGATGGACAATCATAACACAGAAAACACAACTTTGGACATTTATTGGATCAGCTTCATCCATTAGTAACATTAAATCTAGCAGTGAATTTAAACATGTGTTTGGTTGAAATGTTGTTTGTATTTTTGTTATTGCTTGCCTTGTAAACGTTATTTTGAAGTATGATTATTACAATAGTATAGATGTTAAACGTGTATTCACTATTGACTTAAAATAATGACATCATTATACAGGATGACATCCCTACCTGACACTGTAGGTGGAGGGTTCTTCTGACATTGGCAGCTGAAGCGTAGTCGACAGGGAATCTTCTTGTGTTGTGCCAGACTGTGTAGACTGTTGAACTGGAGCTTGCACCTACCACATATAAGAACATCCACCCGGCTGCAAAAGAACACAAACTTGTTATCAGTCAGAGTGAGTGAGTGAGTATGGTTTTACGCTGCTTTCTGTAAGACTGGATTATTTACGAACCGCCGTTATAATGTCTCAACCAAATGAGTAACTTGAATCCCACAATGAAGTAGTGTGTGCATTAGTATGATAATGCCTGTGTACCCTACTGCTATCATCAAGGTAACAGTACACACATTACGGTATCACCGTATTTGTATGTATATTATTTATGAGAAATGCAGTAGCGATATCCTGTCGGTCCAGGACCTTGTTGGCTGCTTTGTTGTTTAACGCCGCACTCAGCAATATTCCAGCTATATGGCGAACGGTCTGTAACTAATCGAGCCTGGACCAGATATTCCAGTGATCAACAGCATGAGCATTGACCTACGCAATTGGGAACCGATGACACGTGTCAACCAAGTCTTCACAGGTGACAGGTATACAGAAGCAATGTCCCTACATCACTGTCTACAGCAGCCTGTACCTGACACTGTGGGATCATCTTATCACTTTTAGTATTTCTCAGTGTTATTATTATACATGGACCTTCATTTAGACAAATGTGTTGAGGATTCCCGTCCCTCTTATGTCACAGAATTTTTTTACATCTCCATGCACATAACAATCTTATTTGAGAACGATTTTTTTTTATCTTATGTGATCAGTTAAAGTGTCTAATATGCTGTCAGATCTTCAAGAAAAGGGTATCTTTTTTGTAAAATGCCTGACTCCAATGAGACTGGCTGCATTCCCTCAATGTTATCCCCACCTGTGTTGATGGAGGAGATTTTCGACTTGGTGGCGTTACTGGACGTGCTGGGGGATGGGGTGGGCTTCTTGGCAGGGGGTTCTGATGTGTCGCCAGATAGTGTCACCAGGGTGCGCTTCATGCTGGAGTTGACTGACGGAGTTGTGGGTGTTGTTGGCTTGGAGTTCAAACTTGGACGCCTGGAAACATGATACTACATGAAACATTCTACATACTAACAAGTAGGAAGAGACATTGTAGTTATTGACAGTACCAGTTAATTTTACCAATTAAGTTAATTTTTCACTGATTTTCCGTGATTGTGAAAAGTCTTTGACATCATATATGTGGAGTAAGGTCAACATGGTGAACCTTCTTGTATACAGATTTATCTTTACAGATTTACCAAACATATCAGAAACAAAATTCAAAATAGATCTTTACATAATCTAAACATTCCCTGTCCAGATCACAATAACATTAACCAATATTTCAGATTTGCAAAGAGAAACACTAATAATACAAACAATGCAGTTACAGTTATAACAAACTTCACTCAGAAGGACATTACATTACAAGGACCGATCACATTTCAAAAGTCAGGTGAAATGATCTACTGCTGAAATAGTGAAAGTGGTAGAAATGGTAGTACACAAGGACACATTACTGGTCCCATCTTAATTACACCGTCTCTGACCATGTCATGTTTATGTTGATATTGAAGTGTGTTAATACTTGTATAATGGTTCTATCAAATTAGAGAAACAAAGTGCCCATGTTACAAAGAAGGGCTGCAACTCACCTTTCATTGGGAGGTGTTTTCTTGATACCACGACCCCTTGGTTCAGAGGCTATATTTGTTGCTGAAGAAGTAACATTATGTTAATTCTGTTAATGTCACCCAGAAGTACACAGATTCACTTGATACAGATTAGTGGACATAATGAAGGATTATGCATATTATGATTAATGATGTAAAGGCAGTCAATACATTTTGGAAATTTGTCAGTGTATGACATATTTAACACATTAGATCACCAATCAGCATCTTCTTATACATGAAATATTCTTAACTGGTCTGTGTACATAATGACACTTCTTCTCCCCTACCCCCACCCTGGCTGTTGTCAGCTTGTGACATTAGGACATGTAGACTCACGTATACCCAAGGGATGTCATACAAACACTATTCAATAAAATGAATTTTACACTGACTAGACTGAAAGTATTGTGCAGAGTACACCACACACATGAAACGTTGCACACGAAGTCAAGTGAGAAAAGCTATTTGTGCACTGTGACCTCTGTCCATACTGGTCGGAGGACTTGATGGTATCTCTCTATCTTGGAATACTCCGTTACTTGATATGTTGATAAAACATGGTGACTACATAACCTATTGCAAACTGTGTAGATTGATGCTCAAGCTGTTGATCAGGAATGGATTATTTACAGATCGCTGCCATACAGCTGGAATATTGCGGAGTGCTGTCTTAAACAACAAACAAAAACATAGCTTACTCTCCAAATTTATTAGAGATGGAGTAAGAATGCATTGTTCGTTTCATGTTTAATACCACAGTCAGCAATATTCCAGCAATATGATGGCAGGCAGTAAATAATCAAGTCTGGACCAGACAACTCAGTGATAATCAGGTGCATCAGTGTACACAAATTGGGGTGAGTATGGTTTTACATTTAACAATATTGCAGCAATACCATCACTGATGTACTCCCCACATGTTATTGTTAGTGTTTACCTCCTACACTGACAATCATGATATCCAATGTAGAAGCCTACGTTAGTCTGCAAACACAACACAAGCTAGAAAAACATCCAGATGGAAACTGTAGCTAGTCTGTATAGCTGGATACCCACCAATAACCTGACCAGCATAGGTCTTCCCATCTTCAGCCCCTGCTGCTATTCTGGCCTCCATTTCTCTCCCATACTGTACAAATGCATAACCCTTGTGCATGGATATCCCAGTGACTAAGCCAAACTTCATAAAGATTTGCTCTACATCTTCTTTATTTAGAGCAAAAGTGTTCAAATTTCCAACAAACACTCGAGACTTGGCAGATGCTGGATCATTTGTATTACTGCTGACGGGCCCAGGTCCTGGTGGTCCCCCCGGACCTGGTGGTCGAAGTGGACCCTGTGGCCCTGGTGGTCCTGGCCTCAGTGGTCCACGTGGACCAGGTCCCATGGGTCGAGGTGGTCCTTGGGGACCAGGCCCTGGAGGCCTCATTCTGGGTGGTCCCATTCCCGGAGGTCGCATGCCTGGTGGTCTCATCATCATGCAGTATCAATAACTTGAAGCTCTTCTCTGCAAAAAATGAAATCAAGACATATTCAAATCCAAAATACAAAAATATTTCCCGCTTCAACATGTTGAATACTAATACTGAAAAAATGTAATCCCCAAGGTCAGGAACAACTTCAAAACATGACCATTCATAATTTCAAGGAATGTGAAAACTCAATAACGAATACATAATTGACCATGTTCTGGCATCGGCTCATGTTACTCAGTTTGTGTGACACCTTATTTGGTTTCATATAAACCATCAGTTCTGTAGAAATTAAGGAATCCATAAAAGGCACACAGACATGACAATATCAGCATTCTACATTAGTGCTTACACACTACTAAATTCTTGTGATATGATAATTGATGTATACACCTGTATCAATCAATACAAAATAACTACATTATTATCCCTTAAACATCGGGCAAGTACGATTGAAACATCAGTTAACTGTATACCATCCTGCCCTATATTAGCAGCATACGCCACTCTTATCAAGCTGCTTCTTTGTATCAAACTTCACATATTTTGCTGTTATCCAACATCATTGTTACGTTTTACATCAAGGTTATTCACATGAATAGTTAATGACTGATTTAGACTCTAGAAAATTTTCTTAAAATAGGGAGAATGGTTAACTTGGAACAGGATACTCTGTTTCTAAAATGAACATAATTTCCAGAATTTATACACAAAAGTCAAGTGCACCTAAAACAGTGTAACTTGCCAAATCACAAGGACATAAACGCAATCACAATGAGACCAGGCTGAAAAACACTCAAGATTCAGATATGTTCACAAACATTGAAACAATTCATGTAGCAATCAACAACGAAGGAACTCAGTCTAAAAACGACTCGGAATGATTGCAGTCGATCCATGAACATTCAGTAACAAGTACCTTTGAAAACCCAATAATGAAATACGTTAGTTCCACAAAAGATAATCACGTTACAAATAATGTCTGCTAATCTAATAGGTGTGCTTTCCACATGTTTGTAAAAAGTACACTTACTTGGCGCTTCTAGGTGGCGCTGTACTTCCGTTTGGTATACACAAAAATATGAATTCTTACCTGGATTCGGGAAAGAAAACGGATTTGATTATCAATATTATTTGTTTAAATACCCATTACCGTTGTGGTACTATGCCCAGGTACACTATTAATAGTAAGAAGGGCAATAAATATCTTCTATTTCTTCACAAAGTGTTACTGAAATATTATAAGTATTATTCGTTTTAGATTTACTGATAGTATTTTGTACCGTATGTTGGTCATGCTTTCGTAAGGATCACCCGCAAGACCTTGAGTGAGAGGGGCCGGTGTATAGACAAGATGGGTGGGTGCAAGAACTCAGACGGGTGAAGTTGGTTCTGACATCACCACGAGAACAAGGTATGATCACATTAATTACGCATATTACAGCAGCGGTTTGCCAGTAAACCTGATTGTCTCTAGCAACCTTCGAAGTAAGTTTATAATTCATTAGGCTATTTAGACTAAACCAGTTCTAATGCTCCAAAATGTAACTAAGTAAACCTAATAAAACTATGGGTCCGTATAAACATAATACCATTCATAAACTCTGGAGACTCGGGAGAGAAATATATTTTCCCTGGTCCATGAGACCAGACTTGGTGTTACTGTTAGCAAAGTGAATTCCGAGCCTGCTTTAACTAAGCACAGTTCAGTACAGTTTGGTTCGTGGACTAACATCTAGTCTCTGAAATCAACATATTTTGCAGAAAAAAACGGAACATAAATAATGATCTTAATACATAATGAAAAAGAGCCCACAGACTTTCTTCAAACCTTGGAAATCTAGATTTGCCACATATTCTAGACTTGCATAGGCTTTCTTGGATATATTTGTTTCAGGGTCTGTATGAGAGACTAACTGGTTTGTAGCGATGCAGTGGGTTGTAGTCAAAAGGGTCAAAGGACAAAAGGGCCAAAACTGAAAAGTCAAAAAGACCAAAGAAAAGTCGAAAGGGCCAAAGGAAAGTCAAAAGAGCTATAGATTTGGTTTGGCTTTCTGAGAGCCATCCTGGACCAGTGTGTAGGCTGGTGCATCAAGATCTCCTTCTCTCTCATCATTGAGAATCTCATCCTCCAGCAACTGACAGCAATTATTTAAACCAGAGACGTTGGATCTGTTGATGAAACAGTTGATGTGGGCATTGAGAACTATTGTATATCAAAACAGGGATTTTTTAAATTTCCTACCGTTCCGCTCTGTGTATTGTTTTGTACTGGGTTTTCATAAATCAAAAAAGTATTTCTCCAATTTACTAAAACTTATTTTTACTTTTGAGAACATATGTTTCTTTTGGCACTTGAATGGTCAAATGACCATGTCTTCATTTTATTGTGATAATATCTCCCTCAGCAAGTCAAGCTGATCTGGCAATTGTTAGTTCAAGTAATTATAGAACCCTGCATAACAGTCAGGTTGAAAGCAGATGAACATAAGATGATTTGTCACATGTCATTAGTTTACAAATTGCAGCATCATTGAATATGTGTGTGCTCAGATGCACAATTATCATCAGATCACGTTCAATTAAAATGTGTGGCAGTGAAAAAATATGTTTTGAAATATGTGTTCATTAAGGCTGTTACGATTCGGTGAATTGAACCGTATCTCTTCATGAATTCAGTCACCAGAACCGAATATTAACAAATATTTATGATTTTTTTAACGGAGTGTGTTTTACTTGAACACTTATGCTCTTTTTCAAAGTTAGATATGCTAGAGTGGAATATGTACTAGCCTTGTAGTAGCACAAGTCATGTTAGTTTGTCAAGGCCGCACATGGTAGTCAACTATAACTATTACATACCAAATTTGAGTGTCATGAGATCACTGGTTATTGCTGTCTCAAATTAACACTGTCAACATGAGTGTCCATATTGTGCATCAATAACATACTACAATATTGTATTAGTGAATAATTATTCTTTCGTTCCCCAATATTCATGATACGTATCATATTCAGCCACATAGTGTATTCATTGCAGCCTTAGTGTTCATTGCTTATTGAATATCTTATCTCATGTATTTGAATTGTCATAACTTCAGTGGCATCTGGCAAGCACTTTGATGTCTTTAGAGCACTTTGAAGTATCAACCTTCACTATGTTGCCAGAGTGTGCCCTATCCAATTCCTAATTTGCACCCTTAAAATTTCAAGCCCACTTTTCTTGGCTCAGTTGTCAAAAAATTAATTGCATTTTGTCATTTCACCAGTAAGCTGCCATGAGTGATATGATGTCTATGTTATTGGGAACCAAATCTGAGAGTCTGATGCAAATTCTGCAGAATTTACATGAGCATTTGAATGCAGGATAGGTGGGTTTGTTGTGGTTGGTAATACATTCATCAATGTTTGTAAACAAATTATATGTCTCTAGTCTGCTGGTCCATGTCTAGCATGTTTTCTTTAGGTCCAGTAAAATTATGCAGGTCTGACTTGTCTTGCTATAGGGAAAAACAAGGGAGTTTATGTTGTTACAAGCAAACCAGCCACCGACACAGCCCTGCATGCTACAGTGGTTACCTTCTGGGCTGGTTTCTGTATTGTGTTCACTGGTGTTATGACTTGTCAGTGTGTAACACTCGGATGAAAAGGTGAAAAGTTCACCTGCTGAAAAGAAATATAACCTTTCCAGTTAACCTGCATTAACTTTTATAAATCTCTTCCACTTGGTAAGCATTGAGTTTGTAAAAGTAGAATCAGGTGACACTCCTGAGACTATCATTGTCTGGTAGATACAAACAGGACCAGGGCCTAGATTTTCGAAGCTCTCTTAGAGCTAAGATAGTCGTAAGTGCCATACATTAACTTACGACTATCTTAGCGTTAAGAGAGCTTCGAAAATCTAGGCCCTGTAACTTTGCCGGACTGATGGTCTTTTGGACCACGAACATGTTTTGCTCACATGACATTCTTTTGGTAAATTACATGTGATTTTTTTTCTGTCAGGTGTACCTTGATGTTGTAGCTGCAGCCATTATCCCAAGCATGAACAAACTGGGACACGGCATCCTTCAGTTGGCATGGAAACCTGTAGTGAAGTCTCTTCGGATTGGAAGCAAGAAACTATTTTCCAAGAAATACCTGCTGTATACTAACACTGCACTGACGGTAGGCCTCTGCCACACGGGATGTTGTCCAGCAGAACTTTCAGATCTGCCAAAACAAGAACAGGGTATGGGACAGGACTCGAACATTTCACGTGTCCTGCACCGGGTTTCTCGTGGGGCCGGTCTGTCACTACTGGTACATATTCCTCGACCGATGGCTGCCAGGGAGGACTCTCCGGATTGTGTTCAAGAAAATTCTTATGGATCAGTTGGTTTGTTCACCCATGTTTATCGGAATGTTTCTCCTAAGTTTAAATTACATGGAAAGTGACTCCTGGGACAAGGCCAAGCTGGACTTGGCTGAAAAGGGCAAAACATTATATATTGCTGATTGGATAGTTTGGCCACCAGCGCAGCTGATCAACTTCCTGTTTCTGCCTACAAGATATCGTGTATTATATGACAATACTATTGCATTTGGATTTGACTGTTACTTTTCGTATGTGCGTTATGATAAAATATATCCAGACAATGACCACACCCGTGAAGCAGAGGGTGGGGACACTGGAGGTGTAGCCAAACTGGACGAGGAAGTGGACCCTCTGCTGCTGCATGTGAATAGTGACATGCAATTAGAAAACTGGGATAAAGGGGAGTCTGTGTCAGGAGACTTATGTGAACTATACATATTTTCATGAGCTCAGTGCTGGTGTTATGTCATGTTCAGGGGCTGGTCTCCTTGAATTCAGCATCAAGAGCATCAGCTACACTGTAGTTACATGAAGAATATTTATTTCTTTATATTTATCTTTATCATGTTTTTAAGATATATTTCTTGAAATACTGCTTCACTGCTTCACTGGAAACCACTTGATGGACTGTTAGCATGTGTTTCTCATCCAAGCTAGTCTGCCTGTATCACATGTCACCACAGCTATCACAAGGATAAGATCTCCATCCCCTAACTGTCAAGTGCCTTGAGATTTTGTTGTTACATCATTATCATGGAACGCGTACAATGATGTTTCTGTTGTGAAGGATGTTGACAATTGTTTTCTGTTATTAGTATTTATCATTAAGCTTTTATTTGTTGCATAAAGATTTTATATTTAAGAGAGTAAATTCTGTATCATGAGAGATTGTTATTCAGTGGTGACTGGTCAGCATGTCTGTGTTCGTGTTTCCCTACACCAACACTGCTGCTTGGTACACCAGAGTCAGGTGCCATAGTGCAGTATGTTGGATGCCAGGAAATGTGACACACAGATGGTAATACTCAGGTTTTCTTCCTGCAGATCGTGACAAATGAATAAATTATTTAGCTCAAAACTGTTTTGTTTGGCTTTGATGGGGTAAAGCAAGGACTGTTGGCTGGGATGGGGTGTCCATGTTAAACTGTGGCGTGGTATCTTGATCAGCACTCTACCACTTTAAAATGGTCATAAGTCCGGGTTAGTGCATGCACACACATCATTGTTCCTCACCTGGGGGGCATCTGCAGGATCCAGTGGTCAAAGAATCTCGCACTTGGACCAGTTATCATCATCTAGACTAACATCTGAACATACATAGAAAAGGGGGTTCATGAATTGTAATCATAAAATGTTATGAAGAGGAGCCCAGAGACATTCTTCATCATATGTTCATTTTCAGGAACTGTGGTAATCTTATCTTGCCACATGTTCAAGACTTGCATAGGCTTTCTTGGATATGTTTGTTTCAGGGACTGTATGACAGACTAATCATCATCCCACTGCTTCTAGGTATCCCCAGATCTGAACACCAGACACGACTCACATTACACATCCCAACCTGACAAGTAATGCAAGGTCCATGCTGTAGTAGTTACAGCTTGCCTCACCAAGTTCAGTAGCTCACTTTCAAATTCTCAAAGTTCATGTTTGTTCAGGACAAGTGAAAAAGGCTGTTGCACCTTAGTGATAATAGATTTTCTTGAACTTTCAAGGGGAATATTTCACATTACCAGAGACAGACTCAATCTCTTGGAGTTACGCCTGAAGTCAAATGGGCTTTAACCTTCCCCATGCAGTTGCAAGTGGAACACACTGTACCTGCTACAGACAGACAGAAACACATATCCTGGGACCCTGGGTAATATAGGGCAGTCAGGGTGTGATGCTGTGTGTTGGTGAAGATCCTGATATATATAGTATTTGTTTATTTGTTGTTTAACGCTGCACTCGGCAATATTCTAGCGGCGGCAGTCTGTAAATAATTGGGAATGGACAAGACAATCAAATGATTAACATCAGTAGCATCGATCTACGCTATATGGATACGTTGACATGTGCATACCCAATCAACAAGCCTAACCACCCAATCCGTTAGTAGTTGGTTGCTGAAGACCAATTCTAATCTTCCGGGGTCCAAAACAAAAGAGAAATGGACATAAGATTGTCCAGTCAAAACATTTCTGTTAACATACAATCCCTGCTGTTTGAAGGTGTGGAGCCTGTCCAGCTGCTGGACGTTGGCCTGTTTCCCTGCCCAAGAGCCTGCTGACCAGGAAGTCCCCGGTGGAAGATGTAGAATGGCGTTTCAATGATGTGGAATTACCCTGTCTCGGTTTTTATTTTGTGGGTTCTTTTTGGTTTTGTTTTCCTATTACATTTTGTTTTAGGGCATTTCTTTTTCAGTTTTTCAACCGCAAGACAGCAGATCATATCACTAAGCAAATGTAACACCACACAACAATCCCACACAATAACATAAGAACCCGGTGCATTATGGTGACCCAGAGAGTCCTATTTGATCCTCTGCCGTCCCTATTTATACCTGTTCTATCATGTACAGACAGATACAAGACAGATATTGTGTGGTCCTTGAGACATACTTTGAGGTGCCAAGGAAGGTGTTTACCAGTGAAGTTAAGAATGTCGGAGACAGTTATAACACATATGTGTATGTGGTACGTCCAGTTACATAAGTTTTCCTGATGGACAGAACTGTGAGAATAGATAAAAGTCTTAGACTGTTTATACAACTCTGTCTGACATGCACAACACGAGATACTGGCCCTGTACTATATTACGTTATCAGTTTGACCCTCAGCATGTTTACGATAAGGCGGTGGGGTGGCTCAGTGGTGAAAGCGTTTGCTCATCACGCTGAAGACCTGGGTTCGAATCCCCACATGGGTACAATATGTGAAGCCCATATCCGGTTGGAAGTATTGCTAAAATGGCGTAAAACACATCACACCTCACTGTAATATACTCCAGTTTCACCATTTACATTTATATATTGTTTCCCAATGTGCCTAATCTCTCTTACCCCGAATGCAACTAAAGCTATGTCAAACATACAGCCACAGGGGCTTGTAACGCTAAAAGGGGCGGTGGGGTAGTCTAGTGGTTAAAGCGTTGGCTCGTCACGCGGAAGACCCGGGTTCGATTCCCCACATGGGCACAATGTGTTAAGCCCATTTCTGGTGTCCCCCACCGTGATATTGCTGGAATATTTCTAAAAGCGGCGTAAAACTAAACTCAGTCAGTCAGTGTAACGCTAAAACTGCCATCAAGGTATACTACTCAAAACAAGTTACGGGGTCAAAACGTTTAATGGCCATAACTACAAATATAAATAACAGTAAAATGTAGCGATCATATAACAACTCGAGCCAACATTTCATGATAACCATAACGGGAGACAAAAACAGCAGGTATGTCAGTGATTGCTGATCAATAAGGTCAAAGTGACCTACTGTCAGAAGTGAAAATTCAAACGCCAACTTTGGACTAATAACGGATGTAACCACCTCGAGCAGTAAGACAAGCAGTACACCTCTGTCTCATACTGTTCAACAGACGTTGGAGGAAGGCTTGGGATATTGTCTGCCATTCTGCAATGAGATACTGGGCCAGTTCTGCACGGTTGTTTGGAGGGGCGTGGTTGTTACGAAGCCGACGTCCTTACTTGTCCCAAGCATGTTCCATAGGGGCTAAACCGCTGAATATGCCGGGCATTCCATGTGCTGAACATTGTTCTGTCTACGGAGGTCCGTCACAACACGGGCACGGTGTGGTCGGGCATTGCCACCTTCGAATATGGATCCGACGCAGGTACGTTGTAAACATTGCAAAACAAGGGGTCTGATAATCTCCCATAGATAGCGATTTCCGGTCAGGGTACCATTAATGACATAGAGAGGTGTCCTTTGATGAAAGGAAAACGCACCCCAAACTATGACACCCCCCGCCTCCAAATGGCAAACGTTGGTTAACGTTAACGTCAGCAAACCTCCCTCCTGGACGCCGATACACACGGCGTCATACCAAAAGACGTTAAAATATGGTACTTGTTGGTCCCTGTCTGGCGCTCGGCATTAATGGGTACAACAAGGACTGGTCGGCTCGGAGTCAGTATAATGTGTCTGAGTGGGGTATTCATGCTTCACTGCGGCATGGTATCTCAGTGGGCTAGCACTATAAAACTAGCTTCAGTCTGGGCTAGTACAAGCAGCCGCACATACACATACACACGCATGCACGTCGTCAGCAACCCATGCTTGCCATAAAAGGCGACTATGCTTGTCGTAAGAGGCGACTAACGGGATCGGGTGGTCAGTTTCGCTGACTTGGTTGACACATGTCATCCGTTCCCAATTGCGCAGATCGATGCTCATGCTGTTGATCACTGGATTGTCTGGTCCAGACTCGATTATTTACAGACCGCCGCCATATAGCTGGAATATTGCTGAGTGTGGCGTAAAACTAAACTCCTCACTCACTCACTCACTTCGTCACTGAACAACGTCCGTCTCCAGCTTTAATTCGTCGCGCTCTCACAAGCAGACATGCACACTATTGTTAAAACGCAAGTGTTGGGGAATTAGCTCGCTTGGCAAGAGGCATGACTATACCAACCCACACACAACACAACACCTGAGTAAAATAAACAAGGAATTTATTACACAGCAGTCACAGGATCATTTTACATAATCAATCAATAATGGTATGGTGTATAATTAATTATTAGAACATGTTAACAATGCAATCAGCTATGAAAGTAAATAAACATTACGTGTAGATTCGTTACACACGACACATACTACATTAATCGCGACATATATATTTAAATGTACACAACAATAGTTCCATACACTCCACATCACCCCAGTGGGGTTCATACAATCTACATTCTGCAACGGTCCCAAACAGCATAGTGTTCAGAACGTAATACAATAGTTAAAATATCCGACACACTCTATACATTCTGTAATAGTCACAAAACAGTGTAGTGTCAATCAGTATTAAATAAACAATCCTTAACTGTAATACAGAACATATGAGACACATACTAAGGGATGCCTCGTTCCACATAAACCTGAAGGATGGTAACTTATAGTTAAGGTATTTACAATAGGTTAAAGTTAACATAGAATAACAATAATATGTCAAAGTAGAAGGAAGTAAAATATCTGACCTGAGTGAATTTACTAAAGTACTGTCGAAAAAACTGTATTCTCTCATTTATCTCTACAATTTATGTAGTTGACATGTGAAAGTGTGAAATATCTGTTAAACTAAGTTCGGCCTAACTACAGTCTCAGTGGTAGAGAGATAGGAAACGGAGAAAAAGGACTTTACTGAGGGGAAATTAGTGCAGAAATGAGCAATACGGTTTTTGTACGAAGTCCAAAAAGACTTATTTGGAACAGACCATGGCTTTATGCAAATTAGTGTGCGACGATATTGTATTACAAAGGACACGTTTTGAATGCCCAATTTGAAATTAGACGTAGATTCATTATAAACGATAGCTGACGTAAAAAATAATAACTTTTATGCTGAAACTATTAAGGATGTAGCTACCATGCAGTCTCACTGTCACTATAAAAACAAACAGATAGGAGGGGTCGCCTCAAAAGCAAAACCTGGGGTCGGGCTTGGGGATAGAGATATCAGCTAAGATAAGATAATCCTTTAGGGCAATTATACTGGGGAGGTACACGGCACGTCATAACAATTTACAAATAATATCCAGTCCTGTCGATCTTCGGGTGGTCATGCCACCTATATACTACGATGCGTTTCTATAGTTTTCGAGTATCATATTCTTTTACATATCTCAACATAAACTTTATGAAAGAAAGACACATAAGATGTTAATCAATAGATGAGACATAGTCAACACACATGAAAAAGCACAAAATAGCTTTGAGATGACCCCTTGTGCCTGTAGGCAGCACGTGCATTTCATCCCAGGTGAGTCGACGGTCCGTCGTCATACCTGGCTGAGCGACCTAATTGCCATCTATAGTCTGATCTATTGTTTTAAACAGCAATTCAACAGCAACAGCAATTCGT